ATCCACGCGTACATGCAGCTGGGGCACCTCGCGATGGCCGACAAGGACTACGAGACCGCGCTCAAGTCCTTCGTCGAGGCCGCGAACATCGCCGAGTCGCTCCAGGAGCTCGGCACGCTCAAGCGCGCCAACTGCTACGTCGGCATCGCCAAGGGGTCGTTGACCATGTCCGACATGTTCAGCGGCTTGATCGACACGATCCGCGCGACGGACAAGGCGAAGAAGGAGCCCAAGGCGCCCAAGATCGTCTCCGACGACGTCAGCGCGACGCTGGGGGCGCTGTTGGCCTAGGAGGTGGAGTAAAGAGGTGAGTTTGATATTGAACTTCATGTTGACTCACAACATCGGAGAGCCTCCGAGTCGACGAGTCGCAGACGCTTCGCGCTGTCACTACACTCGCCCGCGCGCCGCGCCGTCTCACCGCCGCAGAAAACCCGCCGCGCCGCAAGAAAATGGCCGCCCTCGAGGCCCGGTCCGTGCGCTTCGCCGTGGACTACGCCGGCGACGCGCCGAAGATCAGCGACGCGTGCAAGAACTTCATGGCCTACCGCGTCGCCGCCCACGCGACGGACGGCAAGACGTCGAAGCTCGAGGCGGACCGGTTGGCGCGCCTCGAGATCCTCTGCGCGCGCGCCTGCATGCGCGCCGTCAACACGGCCGCGCCGCTCTCCGGCGACGCGGCGAACGCGCTCGCGGCGCTCCGCGCGTCGGACCCCAAGGCGCTGCCCTCGAAGACCTTCGGCCGGCAGTTCCTCCGCGACGCGTCCGTCGCGGCCGCTGTGCGCGCGGCGGCGGCGCCCCAGGCGGGCCTCGACGGCTTCGACGCGGCGTTCGTCGACGCGTTCCTGGCGACGGCGGCGGACGCCGACGACGACCTGGTCTGGGCGCCGGACTACAAGCAGGCCCTCGCGCGGCGCCACGAGGCCCGCAAGCAGAACGCCGTCATCCGCCTCGCGACCCAGGAGCCCGTCGAGCTCGACCCGGTCCTCCAGGCCGAGGCCGACGTCGTCCACAAGGCCGTCGTCGACGCGGCCAACAACGCGCGCGAGGACGGCGCGTCGCCGCGGGCCGGCGCCGCGCGGCCCCTGCCGGCCCTCGGCCGCCTGCCCATGGACCCGCCGTCGCCGCCGAAGAAGGACCAGGTCTAATTGTTGAAGTTTGCGTGTGGTCCTTGTCGCAGTCGCCTAAATTGCCACTGGCCTCGACTCGATAGACTCCTCGCGCGCGCGCGCGGCGCGGCGCGGCGACGCAGCAGCAGCGCAGCGATGCGCCGCGCGCTGCTGGCGGCGTTGCTCGCCTGCGCGTCGGCGGGCCGCTGCGGCGACTGGGACTGCCCCGCGCCGGGCTCGAGAGGCCCGGCGCGCGACGCGGACGGTCCGCGCTGGCAGGACATGTTGCACTACCACGTCGCCAAGAACGCGGGCACGACGCTGCGGAGCGTGCTCATGGCGCGCTACAACGGCACGGAGCTGCACGGCCCGACGAAGCGCGCCTACGCGTTCACCTACGTCGAGCCGCAGTGGCGGGGCCGCTACTTCGTGGCCATGGCGCGCGACCCGACGGCGAAGCTCCTGAGCCAATTTTTCTACGCGCGGAGCACGCTCGGCGGCGCCTACGGCGACTGGCACCGGTGCGTCACGTTCGGCGAGTACGTGGAGTCGCGGCGCGCTCGCCACAACCACCAGTACGGCCAGATGGTCACGGGGAACCGCAAGGGTGCCTGCGGAAACGATGCTGAGAAGCCGCTCGCGCGGCCGCAGCACCGGGCGACGATCGCGATGCTCTGCGCGGGCGGCGAGCCCGCGCTCCGGGAGCGCATCTTGGAGATCCTGCGCGAGCCGCGGCTCTTCCTGGGCATGGTGGAGGAGTTCGACGCGTCGCTGCTCGCGCTCCAGGCCGAGACGGGCCTGCCGGACGTGACCTACTGCCACCGGCGGTCGACGAAGGGCGCATCGACGAAGCCCGACGCGCTGGACGAGGCGACGCGGGCGGACGTGCGCGCGCGCAACGTCTTCGACGAGCTCTTCTACGCCGCGGCGCGCGAGGTCTTCGAGTGGAAGAAGTGCTGCTACGGCGTCGACGCCGCCGCGGTGGCCGCGTTCCGGGCGACGAACGCGGCGTACCAGGCTCGCGCCTGCCCGCCCGAGGACAAGATGCAGAAGCCCGTGGACCCGGCGACGGTGGGCAACCCGGCCTGGCACCGGCCGGCGAACGCGAGCCGGTGCGCGTCCCTCGACCGCGAGCGGTACGCGCTCCCCCGGCGCGACGGCACCGCGAACCGCGGCGCGTGGAAACCGAAAGGGGACGCGAATCCGGCCTTCGAGCGCTGGCGCAAGCGGTGCGAGGAGGCGCTCGCCCAGGGTCTAACAACTACTTAGCGCCGCCCGGACCTCGTCGGCCGTCGCGGAGGTGACGACGGATCCGAGGTAGATCGACCGGCCGAGGCGCGGGTGGTCGATGATGGACACGCCGCCGATGGTGACGAGGCGGTAGCCCAGCGCGGAGTGGGCGACCTCGACCTCGTTGAACGAGCTGCCGCCCATGGACGTGCGCGCGGGCGTGCCGTCCATGTCTCCGTGGTCGAAGAACGCGCCGCTCGGTAGACGCTCGGCGAGCCCCGCCGCGAACCGCGCGAAGACGTCGTAGAGGCGGCAGCGCTCCGCCTCCGTCGTCGCGTTGATGTCCATGATGTCGATGGCCGCCTTTTGCACCGTGACGACGACGCGCAGCTTCTTCATGCCCTGCGCGTCGGGGAAGACGTGGGGCACGAAGATGGCCACGGGCGACGCCATCTCGTGCGCCGAGACCTCCATGGGCGCGCCCTCGACGGTCTGTTCGCGCACGGCGACGACCGTGCGCTGCAGCCGCTTGACCGCCGCGCGCGACGGCGGCGGCGTCGGCGGCGGCGCGCCCTTGGCGGTGGCCTCGCTCGCGGCGGCGTCCGTGGGAGTGCAAGGTTTGGCTGCTTGCAGCGGCGCGGCGGCCTTGCTGGCAGCGTCTTGCAGCGGCGGCGCGGCCTTGCTGGCGACAGCTTCTTGCGGTTGCTCGAAGGCGCAGCCCATGCTCGTTACGCTGCAATCGCTGTCGCACGGTGCTCACTGCCGCAGGTTCGAGCAGGTCTGACTGGATGGTCCGCAGCCTGTTTGTGTGAAGTGCCCTGCAGTCAAGATGCACTTTGATCGTGACATCAATTTTGTTGCCGCCGAAACTCGAAGAGCTGCCCGGCCGCACCCGCGCGCCTCGACCCGCTGTCGAGTGCGCAGCAAATATGGAGGAGGAGTTCTACATCGAAGACGACGCCGCGCTGCTGCGACCGCCGCACGAGCAGACGCGGAAGGCCCGCGCCCGGGGGCTGCCCCTCGCCGCGCTGCTCCTCGTCGCGTCGGCCCTCGTCTTCGTCAAGAACGGCGTCCTGCGGCAGGACGACGCGATCGAGCTCCACTCCGAGGGCGCGTCGCTGAGCTTCGCGGCCTGCGCGCAGTACGACGACGACGCCTTCTACCCGGCGGACCCGATCACCGGCGCGGCGTGCTTCTCGCAGGACGTCGAGACGAGCTGCTTCATGCACGACCTGCCCCAGTACGCGGCGCTCGCGAGCAACTGCGCGGGCACCTGCGGCGACGACGCCTGGTCGAACCTCTGCTCCTGGCAGGCCATCCGGGCCCTGCCCGCGACGTGCGACAACGCCTTCGCCAAAGTCGCGCCGGATCCGGACGCCCGCGGCGGCCGGAACCGGGGCCCGCGGTCGCCGACGGGCCAGGTCGACTACGACGACACGGCGCCGAACGCCGTCAAGGCCGGCGACGGCTGCGGCGCCCACTCGTTCTGCTCGACGTGCTACGACGACGACGGGACGCTGAGCCCCTACTGCGACGCGGTCACCAAGTTCTACGTCGCGGCCCACGGCATGGACAAGGTCTGGATGACGGGCGTCTACTTCTGGCGGAGCACGGACCTCGACTTCTGGTGCGCCGACGACACGCAGGCGGCGCTCGCGGCCTACGCGGCCGGCGGCGGCGAGCCGACGGCGCGGCTCCTCGAAATCGCGCCCGCGGCGCTCAAGGCCGAGCCGTACCGCGCGCGCTGGGTCCCGGGCACGGACCCGGCGGACTGGCTGTCGTAAGAGGCGCCTTACTCCACGTAGGGCGCGTCCTTCTCCGGGTCCCGGGGCTTGTCGAGCGGGCTCCGCTTCGCGTCGCTGCCGTAGAAGCGGCCGTTGCCCTCGAGGTCGTCGAAGAGCAGGGCGAGCGGCGCGCGCGTGCCTTCGTCGGGGGTCTTGGCCTTCATGGCCCGGGTCGCGAGGATGGGCACGAGGAACGACGGCAGGAACCAGGGCGCCGCGGTGACCAGGAGATCCGTGTTGACCAAGCCAGGGGTGCACGCGTTGATTTTCAGGGCCGGGTGCTCCCGCGCGAGGCAGATCGTGTGGCAGTTGAGCAGGGCCTTGCTCAGGCCGTAGCCGCCCCGCGACGCGCCGAGGCCCAGGGCCGCGAGGTCCGGCGCGGCGAGCGCCTCTTCGACCAACGCGTCGATGCCGTCCCTCGTGGGATCCGTGAAGAATTTCTGGCGCTCCGGCGGCGCGTTGACGACGCAGGTCGGCGCCGCGCCGGAGCTGATCTCGACGATGCGGCCGCCGTCCGCGAGGAGGGGCAGGAAGGCGGCGTCGACGCGGATCGGGCCGCGGACGTTCGTCTCCAAAATCTCGGCCACGGTGCCCGCGGCGATGCCGGCGTTGTTCACGACGCCGTAGAGCGGCGTGGCGCCGTGGCGCTTCGCCACCTCCGCGGCGGCGGCGGCGACGGAGGCGTCGGACGTGCTGTCGAGCTCGACGACGGAGACGCGCGGCGACGCCAGGGACGCGGCGGCGGCGTCCCCGCGCGCCTTGGAGCGGCAGGCCAGAATGACCTCGACGTCGTCGTGGTCCGCGACGCAGCGCTTCGCGATGGCCAGGCCGATGCCCTTGTTGGCGCCCGTGATGAGGATGCGGCGGACCATGGCGGATGGCGGTGGTGAACTCGAGGCGGGCAGCCTGCGGAGAGCGGCTTCGTTTGCGGCATGGTGCCAGCAGACCTGCGACTGTTTGAGCTTGCTGAACGTCGCGTGTAACTCGTACGATGCGCTCCATCCTCTTCAGCTGCGCGCTGGTGGGCGCGGCGGCGTTCCAGGCGCCCCAGCAGACGGCGCGGACGGGCGGCGCCCTGCGCGCGACGAAGTTCGACAAGTCGAAGATCGCCGAGGACATCACGGAGCTGATTGGGGGCACGCCCATGTGCAAGCTGCGCAAGGTGCAGGGGGACAAGTGCCAGGCGGAGATCGTCGTCAAGCTCGAGTCCATGGAGCCCTGCAACTCCGTCAAGGATCGCATCGGCCTGTCCATGATCGCCGAGGCCGAGAAGCGCGGCGACATCGCGCCGGGCAAGACGACGCTCGTCGAGCCGACGTCCGGCAACACGGGCATCGCGCTCGCCATGGTCGCGGCGTCCAAGGGCTACGACATCGTCCTGACCATGCCCGAGTCCATGTCCATGGAGCGGCGAGTGCTTCTCAAGGCCTTCGGCGCGGACCTCGTGCTCACGCCCGCCGCCAAGGGCATGGGCGGCGCCGTCAAGAAGGCCGAGGACCTCGTCGCGTCGATGGGCGACAAGGGCTACCTGCTCCAGCAGTTCAACAACCCGGACAACCCGAAGGTCCACCGCGAGACGACGGGCCCGGAGATCTGGGAGCAGACCGACGGCAACATCGACGTGCTGCTCGGCGGCGTCGGCACGGGCGGCACGATCACGGGCTCCGCCCAGTTCCTCAAGCCCCTCAAGCCGAGCCTCCAGGTCATCGCCGTCGAGCCCGCCGAGTCCGCCGTCCTCACGGGCGGCGCGCCGGGGCCCCACAAGATCCAGGGAATCGGCGCGGGCTTCATCCCGGGCAACGCGGACACGTCGCTCTTCGACGAGGTCGTCCAGATCGCGTCCGGCGACGCCATCGACATGGCCCGCCGCATGGCCAAGGAGGAGGGCATCTTCTGCGGCATCTCGTCCGGCGCGGCGGTCCTCGCGGCGAAGATCGTCGGCGAGCGCGACGACATGAAGGGCAAGCGCATCGTCGTCATCATCCCCTCCTTCGGCGAGCGCTACCTCTCGACCATGCTCTTCCAGAACCTCTGGGACGAGGCCCAGCTCATGAAGGCCGAGTAGGCGGCCCGCGTGTGCTCCCCCTCCCGCCCCCTCCCCGCCCTCGCGCGCTCCGGGAAAAAAGCGCGCGCTTAAAAACAGAGGGACAACGTCCGGAAGCCGGGCGGAGCGGTAGGAAGCAGCGAGACATGTCGGTCCCGCGCGGGTAAAAAGAGGGTTCCGCGGCGATCGCGATAAAGTAGGCATGTTGAGGTTCCTATATCATTCATTCGTGGGCAGTCCAACGATGTTGGCCAAACGCCGGCGTGGCTAGAGCGCCGGGCAGCCCAGGAGCCGAGCTCAAACCATGCCGTCGAGTCCCGGCGGGATCCCGGACTACGAGGCCATCAGCTCGCGGGAGCGGGCGCTGGAGCAGTACGCCCAGGACCTGCACCGGCGCGAGATCCAGCTCATGCGCGACCGGCTCCACCCGCGGCCGCTGTCCGCGGCGCCGACGCCCATCCCCGAGGTGCGGCGCAAGGGCCCGCCGTCGGCGGCGGCGCGCATCCAGCGCGCGCGCGCCGCGGTCGCGGCCGCCGCCGCGTCCGACGACGACGACGACGACGACGACGACGACGGGAGCTTCCTGCTCACGGGCGGCGCGGCGTCGACGGCGCGGAGCCGCGTCGAGGGCCGGCGCAGCGTCGCGTCGGAGCGGAGCCGGGCGGCGACGCCGCTCGCGGCGTCGAACCGGTCCGCGCGGAGCGTCGACCGGAAGCCCAAGGGCGGGTCGTTCTCGCGCGCGTCGCGCGAGGCCGCCGCGCCGCCGCCGCGGCGCGAGTACGAGGAGGACTTCGACGAGCTCGGCTACCCCGCGGGGACGAAGACCTGGGGCGGGGCGGCGCGGAGCGGCGGCACGACCTTCGGCCGGGCCGAGCGCGACGTCGGTCCCATGCCCGCGTACACGGACGACGCCCGGTGGAAGGGCACGTCGGAGACGGCCAAGGTGACCTACGCGCGGGGCAACGAGCGGCCTCGGAGCGCCGGGCCCGGCCGGCCCCGGGAGACGGGCCGCGACCAGGTGCTGCAGGAGGCGCACGCGTCGCTGGAAAATTTGATGGCGGAGTACGGCGTCGACCCGCGGGCGGGCGCGCCCGACTCGCCCGAGGTGCTCCGGTCCTCCGCGAAGAAGAAGAAGCGGCCCAAGTCCGCGCGGCGCGCGCCGCCGCCGGCGAGCCCCGAGGCGGAGACGCTCGCCCACGAGGTCGAGCGGCTCTTCAAAGGCGAGCCGTCCATGTCCGTGCGGTCGAGCGTCGCGCCGCCCCAGTACGGCGCCACGCGGCGGCGCTGGTTCCAGGAGGTGCCGCCCACGGAGTGGTTCCGCCACCACCACCTCATCGACCCCTGGGTCCGCTACCACACGGACGCGCCGCGGGCCGCGCCGCCGCCGGAGCCCGAGCCCGAGCCCGAGCCGGAGCCGCGGCCCAAGAAGAAGAAGAAGAAGAAAAAGAAGAAGGAGGAGCCCGTCGCGACGCCCCGGGACGCCCTCGCGAACCGGCGCAAGCGGACCCGGGCCGCCGTCCGCATCCAGGCCGCCGCGCGCGGCAAGCTCGCGCGCCGAGGGCTCCGCGGCCGAAGGAACGCGCAGAAAGCCGCCGCGGCGAAGAAGCGCCGCGACGCGGCGCGGAAGAAGCTGCGGTCGCGGGCGGCCCTGGACCTGCAGCGCTGCGGCCGGGGCTTCGTCGCGCGGCGGAGGTGCGCGCGGTTTCGATCCGCGTCGAAGAAGGAGGCGGCCGCGGCGCGCGCGTCGGCGGCGCAGCGCAAGGCCGCGGAGCTCCGGCGGCGCCAGCGCACCAAGGCGGCCCTCGCGGCCCAGGCGCGCGTCCGCGGCGCGCTCGCGCGCGCCGCGGTCCGCGCGCGCCGCGCGGCCGCCGCGCGCGACGCGGCGGCCAGGCGCGAGGCCGCGCTCGGCCGGTCCATCGCGGCGACGCGGTCGCGGCTCCGGACGCGCGCGGCGGCGCTCCTCGCGTCGCGGGTCCGGGGCTGGCGCGCGCGCGCCGCGTACCGGAAGGGCGTCGCGGCGAAGAAAGCCGCGGAGCAGTCGGAGAAGGAGCGGACGCGGGCCCGCGCGGCCGCCGCCTGCCGGCGCCTCGAGCGCCAGGCCGCGGCGACGCGCGTGCAGACCTGCGTGCGCGCGGCCCTCGCGCGCGCGGCCTTCGGCAAGCTCCGCGCCGCGCGGCGGAAACGGAAGCGGCAAGTCACGGGCGCGGCCGCGAAGCGCGAGGCGGCCCTGCGGCTCTCCCGGGCCAAGCTCAAGGCCGCGCTTTTACTGAGCGCCTGCGTGCGGCGCTGGCTCGCGACATCCGCGGCCTACGAGCGGCGCAAGGCCGCGGAGCGCGCGAAGCGCGCGGAGCTCGACGCGAAGCGCGAGGCCGCCGCGGCGCTCGCGGCGAAGAAGCGCGAGGACGCGGCGGCGGCGAAGCGCCTCGCGGACGCGCAGCGCGACGCCGCGCGGGCCAAGGCCGAGGCCGAGGCCGAGGCGTCGCGGCTCAAGGCCGAGGCGGACGCGGCCGCCGCGAAGCGCGAGGCCGAGCGCCTCGAGGCCGAGGCCGCGGCCGCGCGGCGGCGGCAGAAGCTCGAGGACGAGGCGGCGAAGCTCCGCGACGAGGCGCGCGCGAAGCGCCGCGACCAGGAGGCGCGCGCGGCCGCGCGCGCGCGGAGCCGCGCCGCGGCCGCGACGAAGATCGCGACGCGCGTGCGCCGCTGGGAGGCCGCCGTGCTCGTCGCCGAGCTCCGCGCCCAGGTCCACGCGCGGCGCGCGGCGCTCGCCGCGGAGACGCGGGCGAAGACGGCGCTGAGCGCCGCGGAGGCGCGCCGCGAGGCCGACGCCGCGAACGAGCGGGCCAGGGCCCTCGCGGCCGAGGCGCGGCGCGTCGCCCAGCTCGACCGCCAGCGCCGGCGGCGGCGCGCCTGCGTCGCGCTGCAGCGCGTCGTCCGCGGCTACCTCGCGCGGACGCGGCGCGCGCGCGACGCGCGCGCCGCGGACGCGGCGCGCCGGCGGCGCCGCGACGTCGACGCGGCCGCGACGACGATCCAGATCTGGGCGCTGAAGATGCGCGCGCGCAAGTACATCGTGCCCTACCGCAAGCACCGCGGCGGCCACTACCGGGGCTGCCCCTGCTGCGTGCACAAGCCGGGCAACTACTCGCGCGCGTTCGGCCGCTACAGCCACCTCAAGAAGAGCCCGGACTCGCCCGTGCGCGACGGCAAGCCGCGGCCGCCGGCCTTCGACTACCGGCCCCGCGTGCCCGACCCGGACTACGAGGCCGCGGCGGGCGGCAAGGAGGACCGCGCGGCCGCCGTAGACTACGAGGAGATCTCCGCGCGGCTCGAGAACCTGCGCCGCGTGCAGCACGAGCTCATGGTCGCGGACCAGCGGGGCCTGCCCTCCGACCCGGCCTTCCTCAACGTCGTCTCCATGCAGATCAACCACCTCCTCGAGTCCGTCATGAAGGCGAGCCCCACGCGCCAGGACCTCCGCGGCCTGCCCACGCGGCGGTTCTGAGGGAGCCGCGGTCTAATGTTGTTGTTGTGTCGTTTGATGTCGTTGATGCCGCGTGGAGGCGAGGTTTGAGTAAGGGGAAGTGATAGGGAGCGCTGATCTTCGATCTTTGGCGGGTTCTTATTGTGGATTTACTCGCAGAAGTAGCCGCAGCCGTACTCGACGTCGTAATAGTTTTACTCCGAGCGCGGCGCGGGTCGTCGGGGACACGCCTCGAGCCTCGCGCTAGCGGCAACTTGCACTTCAAGTGAAGTTTGGAAATCTGTATCTCTTCAAACTCATGACAAAACATCATCGCGAGCGGTGCCACCCTTGGTCCGGCTGCGAGTTGCGGCGACGCGGGGGCGCGGCAGCCGAAGATCTGCGCCGCGGGGCGCGGCGCGCGAGTCTCCTTTGACCTCCGGTGGCGCCGAGCGGGTCGGAAAGTCCAGGTCCAGCATGCTTGGGTCATGCGGCTTTCGCGTCATGTGCTGCTGCCTCGTGCTGATGACGATCTCGGGCGGGGTCTCCGGGCTGCGGGACGCGCGCGACGCGCGGGACGAGCGGCGGGCGGGCGTCGTCGAGACGGCGTCCTTCGACCGGCCCGCCGAGCGCGCCGCGAAGGACGACTTCGGCTCCGCCTCGATCGCCGGCGGCGGGAGCGGAGCCCCGGCCGGGGCGCGCGGCGACGGGGCGGCGCGCGGTGGTGGCGGCGCGGCGCGCGACCCTAGCGAAGGCGGCGGGAGCGGAGCCCCGGCCGGGGCGCGCGGCGACGGGGCGGCGCCCGGCGGCGGCGCGGCGGCGCGCGACCCTAGCGCGGTCGCGGCCTTCGAGCGGCCCGCCGAGCGCGCCGCGAAGGACGACTTCGGCTCCGCCTCGCCGATGACGACCTCGGGCGGGGTCTCCGGGCTGCGGGACGCGCGCGACGCGCGGGACGAGGTGCTGGGCACCGTCTCGACGGTGCCGTCCTTCGAGCGGCCCGCCGAGCGTGCCGCGGACGACGCCGCCGGCTCCGCCTCGCTGATGACGACCTCGGGCGGGGTCTCCGGGCTGCGGGACGCGCGCGACGCGCGGGACGAGGTGCCGGGCGCCGTCTCGACGATGCCGTCCTTCGAGCGGGCCGCCGAGCGCGCCGCGAAGGACGACTTCGGCTCCGCCTCGCTGATGACGATCTCCGGCGGGGTCTCCGGGCTGCGGGACGCGCGCGACGCGCGGGACGAGGTGCTGGGCGCCGTCTCGACGATGCCGTCCTTCGAGCGGGCCGCCGAGCGCGCCGCGGACGGCGGCGCGCCGAGGAAGAGGCGGCTCCAGACCTCGTACAGCTTCGCGGACAAGAGCGAGCTGGAGAGCGCGGTGGACGCGTGGATCGCGGATTCGAGCGCGGCGACGACGACGTACGGGCACATCTCGACCTGGGACACGTCGGCCGTGACGGACATGTCGCAGTTGTTCTACGGAGCCTCGACCTTCAACGACGACATCGGCGCGTGGGACACGTCGGCCGTGACGGACATGGAATCCATGTTTAGGGAGGCTGCCACCT